GGGTTCGTGGCCCCATGGCTTTGCTCTGGTCCCCTCCCCCACCTGCCGGGTCATCCTTACCTCCTCCCGGCCCATCCATCCCGTTTTACCAACATCTCAAAGTGGAGATGATGAGTCACATCCACCCGGAAGCCTCTCCTCAGGGACAGGAATCATGTCTTGTTCATCTCTGCACAAAACTGCATGATGTCAGAGGCCAGCCTTCCTGCCACTTCACACCCGCCAATGGCTTCCTGGCACATCGACAGTCACACCCAGACGCCCCCAGCGCGCAGCCCCCACCTTTCTCACCTAATCCCCCCACCCACCCCTCGCTGTCTCTGCTTCTGCCACCCGGCCTCCTCGGGGCTCCGCAGACATGCCAGCTGTGGCCCCACCTCAGGGCCTTTGCACGAGCTGTGCTTGAGGCACTCTCCCTTCATGCGTCCTGAGCCCAGCTTCTTCATGTGACTCGGGTCTCAGCCCATGCGTCGTCTCCCCTGATCACTCCACCCAAAGTAGTTGTGTTACCGCTCGCCCCCGGCTCCTAGTCAGCACCCCTTGGGCCTCCAATCAATGCCCGCAAATTAGGAAGACCCTTATTCGGAGGCAGTTGCTACCCACAGAGCCCTCTTCTAGGTGTGGACCAGAGTGGCCTCGTTCGGCACTCAGAACGATCCTAGATAAGGCTATTATTTCCATTTGGAGAGAGGGGAAACTGAGGCACGGGAGTGGAGCAAGTTCACAGAGCTGGTCAGGAAGGAGGCTGAGATTCAAACTCAAGCAATCAGAGGTCTCCTGGGACACCCCACCCCTCCCACGTGGTGTAGGGGGGGCTCTCTCTGCCCCCATTCTCCTCATCCCGCCCCTCCCCTGCCTCCTGATTAGCTGGCACTGCCATAACCAAGCACCACGGACTGGGGGGCCTTGGCCACAGCCACCGACTCCTCACGTTCCTGGAGGCTGGAAGTCTGAGATCAAGGTGGCAGCAGGGGTGAGTCCCAGGAGGCCTCTCCAGCCCGCAGCCTCTACCTTTCCATCCATAGAAAGTGCTGATCATGGGGCGCCTGGGTGGCTTAGTCGGTTAAGCGTCCGACTTTTGCTTAGGTCATGATCTCGTGGTTCGTGGGTTCGGGCCCCGCATCGGGCTCTGTGCTGACTGCCAGCTCAGAGCCTGGAGCCTGTTTCAGAATCTGTCACTCCCTCTCTCTCTGACCCTCCCCTGCTCACGCTGTCTCTCTATCTCCTAGAAATAAATA